CGCCCTCTACGTGTCCAACTCAAGGCCCGAGGGCCACATCTGGTCCACCGTAAGTATTTAAAGTGGACCAGAAGATCTTAGTGTAAAATTGAACATTAAGACAATAGGTATATGCTTCAATGTTATTTTATTATTTCAAATAAAATCAGTTTTCATTTTATGTGAAACATAAACGTATTACATACACGTAAAAATAGTTTTGCAAGAATTACTAATTGAAAGCAGAGAAATTTGAACGGGAAGTTTTCTCATTGTGACCCGAATGCCTGGATAGAAAATGAGTTGCTGCTGCAAGACCTGAAGAACCTGCTATAATCCTGCTTTCCTCTGGCTAGAAAATCCTAAAAATGTATGCATTAGGACAGTAATGGAGCTGAATGGAGGTTTAGAAGTGTCCTAGTCAAAGTCTGGACACAAATTAGTTTGATTTGCTGTCAATAAAATATCAAATTTTCTCCATATCAGATTCGAAGTCCAAATAAATAAAAGCTGTAAAAAAAACTCTTGTCAAGCAAGATGGCCGCCTTGGACATATGGAAACCCAGTGATGGAAAAAAAAAAAAATCCGGATATTACAAAAATGAAATCTTAAGAAAAAAAACAAATGATTTGTTAAATGATAAAATTGATTTATTACTCTTTAAATAAATTGAAACCATTCTGTAAAATTCAGTTCACCGTTTGTTATAGAAGCAGTTTTTCCTTTTTTCTCTCGTTAAATGAACTCATCATTTGAAACTGTGTTGTGTATTTATTCAGACTATCTATGGATTTCAAATACAGTCCTGTGATATGATCTTGTTACCAGTGTGACAAAAACACAAAAACTAAAGATGTCCTTATGCAGGTAAATACGTTTTCACAGCTCTGGACGAATAAAGATGTAAATGCAGTTCCTGCTTTAGAGAAAATCGCCTCAGCTCTGTCTGCACACAGAGATGTGTTTATTAATATGGACTTTCTGTGTTATCTTAAACCCTCTGGGCGTTTGATTGCTTTGCCGCTTGTTGCTGACTGAGGTCAGTCCGTGTCGTGTCAGAGGAGCGCCGGGATGTGAGCGGACAGAGTAAATAAGCTTATTCCTCTGCCGTTTCACCTCTTTCTGCCGCAGGCAAGGAAAGGCAGGTGGTTTTAAGCAAAATTAATTCAGCCTGCAGGGTCCAGCGAGATAAAAACTCATAACAGAGTTTCGGTTTTATAAGCACTTGAGCAACGCAGCTGGAATATTAACTGGGAAGAATGGTGTGCATCGAGTAGTTTTGGTTAAATCCTTTATAGTTGTGGACTTGTCAGGTGTTTACAGCAGTAGTATCACTTCTGCTGCTACATGCCAGTGGTTGAGATTTAGCTTTTAGCTTCACCCCAAGATCAGATGTGATCTAACCAAATAGTTGTGGCATGAGGCAATGCATCTGCCAATCACTCTGATTGCTCCAGGATCACTGCCAGACAAAGTGTTGCAACAGAAACTCCTCTGCTGATGCATTACTTCATGTTCGTTAGCACCGAACTTATCATACTCAGCACAAAATATTCACAATTTAATGACTAAGATGATAAAATTATAGAACACTTTTGTTGTTTCTTAAAATAAAAAAGTCCAACTTTTTTCACCTGATCAGAACAAATGTTTATTGTTTTGTTGTTGAACAAAAGTGACAAAACATTCACCATTATGTCTCTCAGTTTATTGAGGAAAACGATTCATAAATACCATCTGGAACAAGAAAATTGATGAAGAACTTCTCTAACATTGTGATGTGTTTCACATGTTTGGTTTAGACAGAATATATATCAACTTTTATGAAAGTTTATGTTTCCTTAACAAGCTTTAAATCAGTTCAATTTAAAAATGTATTTTGGCATAAAAATAGAGAAAAAATGATAGCAGTTGAAAAAGTATCACGACATAAGCGTTTCAAATCAGTCAGTATTGACAGTTATAATTTATTAGTTTTTGTTTTAAATGTCTGAAACACTGTCGATTTTTATTTTTAAGCAGTTTTAAAAAACTTTAAGCTGCTGCTGCGCTCCACGGGTTGTTGCTAGGTAACCAAAGAGTGAGAGAGTTGCTAGGTAACCAAAGAGTGAGAAAGTTGCTAGGTAACCAAAGAGTGAGAGAGTTGCTAGGTAACCAAAGAGTGAGAGAGCTAGCTGATTCTACAAACGTTGCTTAGCTAGCAGTGAGAGGTTGGGCGGCCAAGGCCTTTCCTCTGCCTCCATTTCCCAGAATGCTGTGCGGTTCAGTGAAATTTTTGAGTATTCTTTCAGACACATATGTCTGTCATGATATTGATCATTATTGATTTGTTGTCCCACCCTACTTTGGATATTTTGGAGTATTTGTATAATTTTATTTCAGAGTGATAAACCTATTAAAACGTTTTGGCTCCACTTCTTCCAATCTAAACTCAAATTCACAAACAAACATGTTTTCAGTATTAGGAAAATGTCACTTTTTAAATTCTTACCAATAAAACGGATCATTGCTTTTTTTAATCATCTTATTATGTCGTGTGATTAAAGAAAACTTCACAACCTTAGCAAATACAATATGAAATACAAAACACATAAAACACAAATTATCGATACAAAATGTCCTGCTCTCTGTTTTTAATGACACTGTTTGGATGCAATATTTCACATACTGAGGCATTTTTGACCAATGCTGCTGCTTGAATGTTTAACGTCAAGCTGACCTCCAAGAAATGCTGAATCTCTTCCACAGTCCTAGTTTTATCCTGACGCCTCCTCAGGTTGAAATGTTCTACTCCTCATTGTCCTCATGCTTCTGCTCAGCTCCCTCTGTCTCTGTGTCATTCATTTGCTTTGCTCATACTTAAAAAACGGTCTGCTCCGTTCCCTCCTGCACTGCGCTCCTTTCTATCATTGCCACACAGCTGACCTGCAGCTCTGCATTCACACGGCTGCAGCGTGTTGATAGAGAGCGGCATTAAAATACAAGCAGGGTTAGAGACGGGGAATCAGGCGAAAAAGGAGGCCATGGAGAGGAAGAATTAGATTTTAGGGTCACATCTACCACTGCTTTGCAAAAACACAAAATATTACCAACCATTTTTTGCCTACTTTTTGGAATAAGACAGAACTAACTCACAAGTAACTTTTCAGCAAAACATAGGAGCTTGTTTTAAGTAAATAATTCCTTAATATTGATGAAAAAATTCTCATCCCATGGAGAGATTATTTCACTCATTTTACAGTGTTAGAAGTGAAATAATCTGTCCCTGAAACTACATTTTTATAAAAAATGAGGAATTATTGACTTGAAACTAGCTCCTACATCTTGATGGAAGTCACTAATAAGTTAGTTTTGTCTTACTTCATGTGTACTCAGATATTTGCACTAGAAACTAGAGCATAAATACTTGGTAATATTTTGTGTTTTTGCAGTGTGGAACTAATAAGATGCTTGTCTTTCTGTCCTGTGGCACAAAAATTAATTCAGTTCGGACTACAGACCTCAAAAAGTTGCATAAGGGTTCAGTTTAGTTGAAAGTCGAAGTGAAAACCTGTGCAGGAACATCAGGTTCTAAAAGTTTGAGGTTCGCTGTGTGACTTGTGACATCACCAAATGAGATTAAAGTACATTTTAGAGTTTCTTTTAGTGGATAAATCTGGTTTGCAAGAAGAACTTGTCTCTTAAAATATGATGGACAGCCAAGCCACTTCTCGTTCCACTTGTTATTAAACGAATATTTATATTGTATAAAGATAACCCGAGTAAACACAAAACTCAGGTGTCAAATAATGACGTCATTTAAAGCTTTCCAAGCCGATCTCGCTCTGTGTCACACCTCCAATAATGTCCATCAAGTGTTTGTCATAAATGACAAGGAGTGTTTTGTATTGCTGTGGACACATTAATTAATTTTTCATTGGGAGGTTTTCAATCATTAACAATGTACTGGAAACATTTCCGGAGTATTTCAGTAGGATTTGATCCCAGAGTTTGATTATTTTCTGTTTTTATCTATTTCAGGGGTGTTTTCCCAGGGTCTCTTTCCTTCTGTCTCCTTCATGTATTTGAATTCCAGCTTTAATTATTAATACTTTATTAGTCCTAGTTACTGTTACCCGAGAGAAGAAATGAATTAAATTTATCCTTTATTTTATGATGATGTTATTATTTCTCTAGTTTTAAAGGGATGCAAACTTTCCAAAAAGTTCCTCTTTGTCTCATCAGTCCACAAAATGTTTCCACAAAAGTCATGTGGCTCATAAAGATGAAGACAGTAAAATTGATTAATCCGTTTTTCTCATGACTTAATGAGTCATGTAAGATTCAGGCTATTTTTTCCTCAATAAATAAAATGATTAAAATTGCTTTAGTATTAACCTGGCCTATCTTTGCCTATTTTCTGTAGGGAACAGCATTTCCATTAACAATGAGAGTTTTTGTGTTGAGAAGAAGAAATGGATGGGCATCTTACAGATTACGTAACAAGCAGAAGTAGTGATTTGTGATCAATACTTTTGTGAAGTGGTCACATATTGGTGGGCCGATTACTGCAGCAGATGAAATGAAAAGAGGCCATCATCATCTTGAGCTGCTCTCCTCATAAAACAAGGCATTTCTCACGGTAATTGTGGAAGATAAGCGATCTTGTTGCAACGCTGTAACGGCCCATTACAATAAAACTGGAGAATGATGCATTTCAGCAAACTCCACGGCGATCTGCAAAGCAAAACTCCCCTCTGTGGACGTCTGGTGATCAATACGACACTGGGAAATGGGCGACAGAGCAGATTAGGCGCTGGGCTGAGATAAATCCGGGCCTGCGCTGAATGCTAAGGGCCCTCATGGACAGACACCAAGTGTTGTTATCTGATTGTTCTCGCCTGCGAAGGCCTTTCGCTCCGGAGTTCACCCCCGGAGCCGAGCCGACAGCTCGGCGTCCCTTTAACTGCCAGGATAAATCACCGCGCTCACTTCCTGCTGTCACCACGGCAACGCCTTGCAATTTGAAGCAACAACGTACCTTTGCCTAGCGAGCAGTCTGCGGTGCCAAAGTCCATCAGGCTGGATATCTCTGTCGGGTAGCACATGTCCGTCACCACCGTCTTCTGCCTGTGAAGCACCGACGGATCTGCAGAGATACGAATGTAAGTTTTAGAGAAAATGTTTAAAATAACCATTTAAAATCATATCTGTACGTCTTCTTATCATAAAAATCCGATGATGTTTACACAGGAGTAGTCCTCTTGGACTTTGATTTCTATCTTCTAATAATTTAATATTTGTTGCTTTTTGGTGGGATTATTATAAAACAACTTAGAGGATTTTATCAAACAATAATTTGACAAAAACAAACAAGTAGCTTCTCAGCAAGAGCTCATTTTGAATGAATAATCCCTTAATGCTTAAAAATTTCCACTGGAAGATTATTTCTGTTAAAGTAAGACATTTTCTAATGTAATAAATGAAATAATCCTCCAGTGAAACTGGAATTGATTAATCAATATTAAGAAAATATTGACTTAAAGCTATCTCATATATCCTGCTGAAAAGTTAATTGTAATTTGGTTTTGTCTTATTTCAAGTTTACTAAAATATTTGCATAAAAACTGCACCAAAAATATTTGGTAATATTTTGTGTTTTCGCTGCTATTTTCACACATTAATATACTTTTTGTGAATAATGTCACAGATTTGAAGTTGTCTAAAAGACAGAAAGCGGTTGATTTTTAAATGTAAATTGAAGTTTTCTTTCCGGATGTCTAATATTCTGCAGAGCAGATAAAGCTGAGCTCACATTTTGTCTCTCATTCTTTCCACTAAACTCTGCAGGTAAAACCATTCCACTTAAGTAAAGTTTCCTGTGTGATAAACACATACAATATGCCACTAAATTTTACATTAAATCTTTTCCACAGTAGCTGCTCTTTCCATTATCGCTGCATTAAGCCCTCAGCTGCTCTCTGCATAACGTTTCCCAGCGTCCGTTCACGCTCCAGCGTGTCCGTTTCACAGCTCTATGGTAATTATTGGCGTTACTGACCGTTCCTGCCCTCTCGCCCCGCGGCATCACTCCTGACCTGTCAATAACTGTTTAGACGGGCCAGGCTGACCTTTTCTTTGGTCCTTAATATGGAGATTGGGCGGCAGGCCGGCTCACACTCGGCTGCTCTGAGACTAGTTCACTGAGCGCCGTCGATAATGAGCGGGTCGTGGGGGGCGAAGCAGAACTCAAAGGGAGGAACAGCTCACCTCTTAACACTGCAGCGTTTAAAAGAATATATGTTCATATTGTCACCGTGTTGAGACGGTTTAATATGACGGATAAGGTGTGAAAAAGCTTGATGTCCTCCTTCCTGAGAGATTATAACTGTCTGAAGAAACGCGTCACTTCCGACAAAAAACAACCAATCAGAGGCAGGAGGCGGGGCTTAGCCGCGAATGGCGGAGAAACCGTTACAAGAAGACCGTTTATCCGCCGTCATGCTATGCTAACTAGCCACATGCTATGCCCTTATGTGTCGTCGTTATTGACCGGAAGAAGAAAAAAAAAAACCCTACATGCTATGATAGCTGCAGCTCGGGGTAGTAACTAGGTATATATACTCACGTTTACTTTGGTAAATATTTGGAAAAAAATATCTTTACCACGCTGCAGCTTTTACTTGAGTAACTTCACTGAATGAAAAACAAACATGTTTTGACCAGAAATTCACCAACACAGACACACACCTGCAGTTTTTGTTAAATTTTAATAAGACTTATAATGAAACAAATTTATTTGCGGTTTTTGTCTGACTTTATTTACTAATTAATTAGGTTATTTATATGAATTATTTTCATTTTCATGCTTAAAATACCAAAATTTCCAGCTAACTTTAGATCGACTAAGTAATTTTTAAATATAAAATGTAGACTCTTTAGCAAATACTTTTGTTTTCTTACTTGAGTAGTTTCTTGGATGGCTACTTTTTACTTTTAAGTAAAAATATGTTGCAGTTGTGCTACTCTTACTTTAATAAATTTCTTAGATACATTTTTTATGTGTCTCATAACATACAAAACCCACCTCTAGAAAAAGAGAGGGAGAATGAGCAGCGCCACGCCAGATTGTAATTGACAACGCTAAGGCCCGCCTTCTGGTTCTGATTGGTTGTTTCTAGTTGACATGGCAGGGCAGCTCAATTTTTTCACAGATTGTGTCTCATAACCTACAAAATGTAAAAAGGTACTTTAAAAGAAAAGTTACAGACTCCAGCTTTAAAGTTTTATCTCTTAATGAGGTTAAAAACAAATATTCCAGAAAATAAATTCATACTTGCAGTCATTACATATTTTCAAATTATTGAAAATTGTCTTCTCCAATTTGTCAAAATGTGCAAAGTTGAATTTTTCCTGATGTGAATGTTTTTGTGGGAGGATTTTTTGACCTCAGAGGAGCTCATGATTAGCTGCAGTTCATTGTGTTTCACAGAGAAACACCCCGCCAGCGTGTCTGCTGCAGTAAGTGGGCTGCAGAGAAGAAACCAATGAATCAAATCAAATGACTTCTGCCTGGTTGGACCTGAAAAGTGAGAATTTCGGGGTTATAATGAGGCCAAACAGTGCTGAATGCAGAGTACTGTAAGTTTTACTTTCTTTTTCCAATTGCTCTCCACAATGTCCCTTTCAGAAGACATTTAGATTTCCATCATGAGGCCAACAGTTGGCATATGTGGTTATGAAATTATATTTCAGAGCACAGTCAAAGTCACTGATTGCAGAGATTATTTTCTTTCCAGCCAGTATTTGTGAAAGAAAAAAACTGAACACTTTCGGCTGTATTCAGTAAAACTCTTTTGACTCCTCTGAAGCTGAAAGTTAACGCTTGCTCTCTCTTTGCGAGACATGCCAGATGAGTAGACGCACGAGGCTTGAAGCTACTTTGCAATCAAATGGGAATATCTCAAAGCTAAGCTGTGGATTAAATAAGTTATAAGAAGCCATGCTGTGATTTCTTTTGTTAAACTTTCATTACAGAAGAAGAGTCTTGCATTTCTGGACACTGCACATCAAAAATGAATGTTTGTCAACTTTTTATTGAACAAAAAAAGTTTCCCACTTGTGAACTGGGCATTAAATGATGAAGATGTAACCCAAATAAATCCAAATAATCAGAGCTACAATTATAAATCCGTGCTTTTTATCGCTGCGTTTTACCGGTTTGAACAGCAGGCGAACAAGGATTTCTGAGTCATATAAGCAGCAAATACTTGAGACACAAATACACACTATTTCATCATCCGATTTACTTTGAAGTGGGTTTTGTTTTGGGTTTGTAGAAAGAAAATTGTTCACAGACTCTGCGCTGATGCATTTTCCGTTTAGCAACGCACTAAACCCTCTCAACCTGATCATGACCTGGCTGGTATTTTTTCCATGAAATGGTATTTAATTTCTCTTTGGGGTAAAAAGTAAATTAAATTTCCAAGCAGCTTTTCTACATCCAAAGTCTTGGTTGAGAATCAGAAAAAAGGAGGCAGCAGGGTGACTTTCCTGACCTTTGACCTCCAGTTAGTGTTCATGTCCAACAGATAAAATTGGAGCATCGTCACCTTTAGGGAGCCTGACTGATTTGACATTAAAAAGAAGTAAACAAGAGTTATTCAGGTGTCAGATTGACGGATGGACAAAGTGACAAAAGGTGAGACATAAACAATCAGTCACCATGACGACAGAGTTTTGAAATCTGTGATCATCTGCAACAACAAGCTGTGCACTGCAAAACCAAAATCTTACCAAATAGTTTTAGTTTCTAGTCCAAATATCTTACAACACTTGTAATAAGAAGAAACTTATTTACAAGTGACTTTCCAGCAACATAGAGGGACTTGTTTTTAAGCAAATAAATTCTTAATATAGATGAAAAACAACTAATGTTTCTGGCAGATTATTTAAAATAAAACAATAATAAGTGAAATAATCTGCCAAAAAATTCACTCAATGACTTATTTACTGAAGCAACCTCCTATAACTTGCAGATATCTTGTTAAAGACTTACTTAGAAGTTAATTTAGTCTTATTTCAAGTGTATTAAAATATTTACACTAGAAACTAGACCTAACATAGGTCATACAATTTTTTCTAATAGATTAGTATCCATTAGCTCTATAAAATGTAGACTTAAGTGATCTGCACACTGACATTTGCACAAAGCAGAATGCATGTGATATTTCTGCTGGGGTTGAACTTGAGAATGTGCAGAAATGATATTTTGCATAAAAAATGTGCATTTCTCAACTTCTTAGTAAAAAAAAACAACAGATCAGAACTGAAGAACTACCTGATGGTTTTCAACTGTAGTCCTGATTTGTCTACTGTAATTTTTCATATCACATTGAATCTCAAATAAATGCCAGCATGGGGATTAGTGTGATACATTTCAAATATTTAAATGCAGCGTTTTACTTTAGACCAATCCAAGCTTTTTAAAAATGGTCTCTGTAGAGAAAGAAATACTTTAAAATGAAGAATTCTAGAAAATCAGATTATTACGCCGCTCCCGTTTCCGAGACATTAGAAAACTTACTGCTACATAAAAACAAAACTCATTTTCAGACCCATAAAAGAACACAAATTCAGGCTTTGTTAATTGTTTTATGTGTAACTTTTCCATTGTTGAAATGTGACAAATGTCCTTCCTGCATAATTCAAGCAACAGACAAAACCTGCAAATCAAACAGGTCTGGAGCAGATTTTCTGCTCCATTATGTTCTGCTATCTTCCAGTAAGTTTCCTCCTCTGCAGGTCCCTTCTTGTTCATGACCTCATTAGACAGTAAGAGGTTTTCAAAACACTTGAATAACACGCAGAGACTCAAGATGCAGATGCTCTGTTATGATGCTGTTTTTGGTAAATGGTTACATTTTCAGCTCTAATCAGGAAAAGTGAGCGACTCCTTAAAGCAGGTCTGAAAAACAATTTGATTGGTTATATGGAAATAAGCGCCTCATTGACAGGCTGATTGGTGAAAACGTGTCAAATGTAAACGTCTCAGTTTGAAATCAAGAAAAGAATTATTTTAAAACTAAGCTGAACCAAAAACAAAAACATTCATTCATATTTCTTACAGGTTCTCTGTAATTGCGCCTC